TTATCGATCTGATTCTGTTTGTCACAGCTCATCCATCCCACGAAAACTCCTTGGCTTCGTTTGTATCTCCCTCATAAACTCATCCATATACTTTTTATTTACATTTCTGATCATGGAGGTTCTCCGGTTGGTCTGGACTGTGTCGGATGGGGACGACACAGAGCTCCGACTGCAACCGTTCGACCTCGACGATCGAACTGACGAATAAAATTTAAGAAAAACGGTGCTGTTTGATCAGTCGTCTTCTCCTCCCTCTCCTCCAAATTAGTATGTCTCAGGTTTGGTTTGAAGAAAGAGACTGGATGGAAACAAAACATCTCCAGTGAATCAGAGAGCAATTGCTAAATATGTCTGCCTAGTCCCACAGAGCGTATTTCAAATAAAACCCAGTGTAATGAACAAGCTCGTTTTCGTTTATTCGTAATTATATCAATACATACCTCTTATTTTTAGGAATTATTATTATTAAGAATCAATTTGTCTGCGGAAAAGAAGAAAAATATCACATCACAGATCACTAGGATTGATTTCATCATGCGAACAGAAGTCGGATCCACAATGATAACAGAGTTGTTCGTTCACTGATCCGACCATCGAGGTTACTTGAGATATGTGGTGTGTAAGGTGAGTCGGGGGAGCTTAAATGCCTACACAGATTGTTTTTAGACAGACAGAGACAGTTTTTGTGCAGACGATTTCCCGCCGTTTCTGCTGTGGTTAGCATCCGGTAATAAACCTGCCTTGATAATTGACCACGAGCCTTAAGCTCCCATGATCCAGTCCACTTCTTGAGGATGAGTGCATGGACAACTCTGATCATTATGGATCCGAATTCCCATCTCATGATGAGTTCGTTCCTGTGGTGTGGTTTGTTTTCTTTTCCGAAGACTTTGACCCCCAATTAGGTATATATAATGATGTATTGGCATGATTACGAATTCATGAAAAGTGGTTTTTCACCGCTATTTTACTTGACTTAATATATCTCTAACTGAAAGCTTGGACAACAGTTTATCAATAAGCCTTGATGCAGTTTATGAATTTTGTCTTTTATCTTCACGAATAAATTTTCTACCGTCTTGCACGGATTTGAAGATTTAGTTTTCTGGATTCATAAATAGGATTTTTGGATTGCGCATTTTCTTTCAGTCGATAATGCGTTTCCGCATTTTCCTCCCTCACATCTCAGATTTCCCTCCACCCCCGCCGGATGCCTTTGCTCCGGAAAACTTCGTTCTTCCGCCGCCGCCGCCACCACCCTTGCCTGAGGTTCTGAACGGAGAGCTCAATGCAATGGTTGTTACTCAACCAGAATCAGGTACAGCCAGATCACAATGTGAGCCACACTTGGTACGTTTCTGTTGGTTGACATACCCCCTCTAGTCAATCAATTTCTTATTTTATCACGTTACAAACGGTTTTCTTCTACCCATGCGATGATATCGATCTCTAAACTTACCCGGGGACATAGGTGAATACAATCATTTGCTGAGGATCACGCAGATGAATAAGGTGTAACATGGTTAATTTTAAGCCTGAAAGTACAATCGAATTTCTGTTCACCATACCGTTTTCCGAGTGTTGTGCGGACAGTTTCACCTCTACTGTCATTTTTCGAGTATTCGGATGATACTACCTAATGGTAAGGTCACACGGTAAATTCATAGAAAACATTTGCTTTACAGCTGAAGAGAATTGTAGAGTTGTTTTGATTTCGTTGGGTCTCGTCAGCGGTACGCATCCATCGACCCAATTGAGAACTGGACTCGAAACCTCACGGATAGAACGCAAGACTCCTGTCCACGTGACCACCTGGCAAAAAATGAGATCGCTGCACCACCTCTGGTCCTTGCACAACAAAGTGCGAGTTGTCAAACAACAGGGTAATGTCCATGGCCGTCGTTAGCGGCGGACTTTACTTGCCCATTTCACGATGTTGCCGACGGAAATTTGTATATTTTATCGCAGAGAGGTCGCTTACCAAGCGAAAACCCACCACGTTCTCGGGCATCGTCACCGGTCGCAACCGCTTTGTCAGCGAAGTAATGCACATCTATTCACGGTTAACCACCCAAGTGGTCGTCGTCTTATCCTTGACCTGAAAACGTGTCCCGTGGCATACAACTTCAACAGCCGTAGGCCTTTGGTAACCTACGCTCTCCATCGAGGAATTCGCGTGTTGCAACTGTGCCAACTACCCAGGAGTATGGGGTTATAATCCCTCACGGGTCATTATATATACACTTTTGATGAACTCTAGAAAGAGTGAAACTTGAGTCCATTGCTCCCCGAAGGTATGGTTGACTGGATGAGATGAGGATTGTGTGTGAAGAATGATCAGTCCATTGTTCATTGCCCTATTATATCGTCCTTTTCATTCAAGCACTCAAACTCTCGGTACATCAGGTTTGACGTGATCGTTCGTAAAGACTCGTATTCTTCCTAACTGACTCTTATCTTCATCATAAGCACCGACTAGCGAGTAACGAATCAATTTAGCCTCAACCTTGCCCAATAATTAATCTTTTGGCACTCATCGTCCTATTTTATTCCATTCCATTGGCATGAAAACATGAAACTGAAGTGTGACCAACTGTGCTTAAGAGACTCATAAATTGTAAAACAGAAAGCACACCAAAGACTAAATCTTTTCGCGTCGAGATCTGTCCATCACCTATACATATTTACCACCGGCTTGTAGACAAGCATGGTGCATGGTGTCCATCACCTGATCAATATTTACGCACAGTTTAGATACCCCTATTTGTACTGACACTCTTGACTTGTAAACCACTGATTCAAAGCGTTGCGATGGACACGGTGGGACTGAGGCATTCTTCATGTTTTCTCCTTGCACTCATCAATACCCTGAGCTGAAACAAAAAGTAGTCTACAAACAAGTCATTTTCGCATCCACAACCATCGCGACACAGAGTTTTTGATCTGGATAATTCTTCTCATGGGACAGATGGATGAGGTGAAAATAATCCGTTGAATTCTACTGAGAGTTAGGATGCGAAGTTACTCCCAGAGATTCCAAGTTCAATCCACTGAACATAGTATTTCTATTATCTATTTCTCGAATCCATCTTGAACGATGGGCAGAACATTTTAATGCACAGTTCATTTGGCCCCCGTCGACAAAACCTCCACATACCTGCTTCAGCTAGGTAGATGCCGCCAGTAGATATCAGTCCTCCATCTGAAATGGTGCTTACTCTGGAAGTAACTTATCTCAAAAGGTATAAGGCCTCCGGCCCTGACGCGCTGTCCCCATCCGTTTTTAAGGATGGAGGGCCGACCCTGGTTTTTAGTTGATGAAACTCCTGACAACATTGTGGGAGAGAAAACAGGTTCCAACTGAATGGTGTGAATCAGTGATGATACCGATTTACATGAAGGGCCACAGGTCCTGGTCGACGTTCTATCAACCACATCTTCACTCTTCGCCGAACTCTGGAGCACCGACATTCTTTTCGTAGACCCACCATCTCTGTCTTTCTCGATCTGAAAGCGGCTTTCGACTCAGTCGATCGCTCTGAACTATGGCGCTGCCTCACTGTAAAGGATATGCCCGAGAAATTTATCTCAGTACTTCAATCCCTTTATACTAATAGCCGGAGCCGAGTCCCAGCTTACGGCATCTTTTCACCCGAGTTCACCACGGAGTGTTGTTCGCCAGGGTAGCCCTTTCTCTTCGCTTCTACTTAACTTTGTGATAGATTTAATTCTTGAAACAGCCCTATCCTCGTGCAAAGACAATGGTATCGATTTACTCCCAGGTGGCAGACTGCCTGATTTAGAGTATGCAGGTGACATTGTACTGCTAAGTAAAGATCCAGGTAAGTTACAAGCTTTTCTGGAAAGTTTGAGGGCTAGTGTAACCATGTTCGGTATGCGTTTGGCAACTTCAAAGTGTAAAATGTTACTACAAGATTGGGTTGGTCGAGCACCCAGCTTCACTCTAGCTGGGGAAGTAATAGAACAAGTGGACAGCTCCATTTTACCCGGTGGACGCATCACGGATGAAGTGTCAGCTCACATACATCATCATCATCATCGTACAGCGAAATACTGTGAAGCGAACTTCACTGATCGCTGCCAAACTCGCAATGCATACAAGGTTAGTGGTAAAATTTAAGGTGGGCAGGGATTGGATCTATTTTGAGGGAGGGAGAAGAAGGTAGACCACTATGGTCAACACACAGAGTGCACAATCGAACTCTGCATGCATACCGTTTCAAGCATTTTGACCTAATAAGAAACGACAACAGCAACACCACTGCTGTCGGTTCGCTGCCATATCCTTCAATGTCTCCAACCAACCAGTTGTGGAGTCTTTCGGACCCCGACCTGGAAGGCGTGAGACACCTACTCTATCTAATGGCTCTGTGTATTTCTTCATGCCTCGTCTCCACGTCATCTGTTGACCTCCACGTGGTTTCATCCAGCCCGAATTAGCTACAGCCAATAAAGCGCGGTGTGGCAGACGATAGCTGGGCATACGCAATACATGCCCTAGCCAGCGAAGTCTAATAATTTGAATTCGATGTGCCAGCAGGTTTGTACCTGATAGACTCCCAAACACACGACGGCTCACCTCCACGTTACTAACCCGTTCGCTCCATCCAACGTGAGCTAAAATGCGTAAACACCNCGGATATCCTCTACTCGCAAATTCAAGGTCTCGCAACCGTAGAGCAGAACTGAACGAGCGGTGGCACAATATACACAACCTTTCAACTTCCGTGAAACGTCGCGTCTACGCCATAGGTGTTTCAATCCTGCGTACGCTGCTCGAGCCTTGGAAATGCGGGCGGTTATCTCCTTTGCTGCGCTACCGTCATTGGTCACGCAACTACCTAAGTAAGAAAAGTATCAGTGGGAACAATCTTTGACTATTCCGTGATGCAGCTGCTACTTCCATTTCGCTAGCTATTGTTACCCACCGGTTCTCACGATCCTTCTTGGGGCTCTTCGTAAGCCTACGTTGTAGCTGTCACCTAACTCTATTTTGATCCTGGCAGGTCGGGACTTGCCGTTTTAGCTCCATTAGGGCTACTGACTCCTGAGATATCCAATGCCTCCGACGAGTTTGAGGCTGAGACCCACAAGCAACATTCGCTGCAGAACGCATTGCTTGCCTAATCTGATCCACTGCTCGTCTACATCACCACGCTGAGGCGCACTTAGCTTACGCGCTAGCTGTGTCTCATAGAGTGCATGTCCTGCTAGAACAGATAGTTGTTGATGAGCTATCCGAGCCTGCTAGTTTTGTCGCCGACCAGTCAGTCGGAGAGTGAACTGCATCAAAAATAATGCGTGGTCAGACTCAACGCAGGTGGTCCAATAGGACCTGCAATTTTGCACTGAGCCACGCCAACGGTAACTTTCTGCTATGTGGTCGATTTGAGTTAGGGTACCAGTTAAACTGGAGCGCCACGTTGCCGTCCATCGAGAGCTGTGTCGGAAGTGGTGCTTGATAGGAACAGATGATGGTCTGCGCAGAACTGAAGAAGTCGGTCGTTGGCAGGGTAGAACACAACTACCGCCTAGGCAAGCTTCTGATGCGCTCGGTTTTCCAACCTGCCCGTTGAAGTTACCTGAAAGTACAACTATGTCGGAGCTTCGACTCATGCGAATGAGATCGGTGAGTTCATCGTAGAAGCGTCCTTTTGGGTATCAGAACTGCAATCGGTTTGTGCATATGCTGATAGGATGAACAAAAACCCTTTGGTGTTGCTTCCCTTCCGGATGCTGATTGAACCCTGGAGACGCACTG